TTGGCTAGGTCACAAGATATTCCACCCACATGCATTTTATTGTTAAGGGCACATACAATTTCATTAGTGAAACTAAATATAGCCTTTTCTGTTGAGAGATTTTTTCTAAATCAAAATTGCTCCTCGACAAGGATGTTGTTTGAGTTTAAGAAATTATTTACTCTCCTGCATATAACTTTCTCAAAAATTTTAGAAAATGTTGTCAGCAGTAAAACAAGTCTGTAGTTAGAGCTGCAGGATTTTTGACCCTTTTTATATAGTGGTTTTACTTTTGAATATATAAGTCTTTCCGGAAACATTCCTACAGCCATAGAATGATTACAGAGATAACTTAATGGAATACTTATATAATCTACGCAAGATTTAAGTACTTTAGATGAAATTCCATCATAACCACATGAATTTTTTGACTTGAGAGAAGTTATTGTAATTTTAATTTCATTTTGTGTGGTAGGAATGAGATTAATATTTAGAAATGAATTAGGAATTGCCGTAGCCAAGAACTTCATTGCATCTTCGGTTTTTGGAGTTATGGTATCACTGCTGTTCATTCTTTCTACAGTCGTTTAAAAGTAGGTATTAAAATAGTTACCTATAAGTTTAGGATCATTTACTCTGTTATTATTTATCATTAATGGTGGGCTTTCAATGTCTGTAGATTGTTTGCCAGTTTCCTTTTTTACAATTTTCCAAACAGTTTTTACTTTATTTTCAGACTCTACTATCAATTTATTGTAATGCATGCGTTTAGCTTCTTTAATGACTTGAAATAAAATTTTGCAATATTTTCTATAGCTTCAATAGTGGGTTATTACTGGACCTGCTACTTAGGTAAAGAGCTAGCTTACTTTTTCATGATGTTTTGATTACTTTAGTTAACCATACATTGGTTTCAGACAATTTTTTCTCTGTTTTAGTAGGAAAACTTTTTTCAAATATGCTAAAAAAGATGTTTAGAAAAGAATTGAACTTCGAGTCCATATCACCACCACTGAGTAATAATTCCCAATATTCACTACTGAGATGTTGTATAAATTCATTTAAAGTGACTTCATTTATCACTCTAGTTACCTTCTTATCATTGCGAAAGTTAGAAATAAG